TAATCGGATTTTGAAGCGGAATACCTCTAAATGTTTCTGGTGCCATTCTCTAAAAATCTGCATTCAAATTTGGAATTTTATTTTTTTTAATATTTTTTGTCATTTTTCTGATGTTATGATCTTGTAGAAATTCAAAAAAGATCAAAAATGTCCCAACGCTGAACTTCTAAAGTCCATAACTCAACTAATTTTAATCGGATTTTGAAGCGGAATACCTTTAAATGTTTCTGGCGCCATTCTCTAAAAAACTGCATTCAAATTTGGAATTTTATTTTTTTTAATATTTTTTGTCATTTTTCTGATGTTATGATCTTGTAGAAATTCAAAAAAGATCAAAAATGTCCAAACGCTAAACTTCTAAAGTCCATAACTCAACTAATCTTAATCGGATTTTGAAGCGGAATACCTCTAAATGTTTCTGGTGCCATTCTCTAAAAATCTGCATTCAAATTTGGAATTTTATTTTTTTTAATATTTTTTGTCATTTTTCTGATGTTATGATCTTGTAGAAATTCAAAAAAGATCAAAAATGTCCCAACGCTGAACTTCTAAAGTCCATAACTCAACTAATCTTAATCGGATTTTAAAGCGGAATACCTTTAAATGTTTCTGGCGCCATTCTCTAAAAAACTGCATTCAAATTTGGAATTTTATTTTTTTTAATATTTTTTGTCATTTTTCTGATGTTATGATCTTGTAGAAATTCAAAAAAGATCAAAAATGTCCCAACGCTGAACTTCTAAAGTCCATAACTCAACTAATCTTAATCGGATTTTGAAGCGGAATACCTTTAAATGTTTCTGGCGCCATTCTCTAAAAAACTGCATTCAAATTTGGAATTTTATTTTTTTTAATATTTTTTGTCATTTTTCTGATGTTATGATCTTGTAGAAATTCAAAAAAGATCAAAAATGTCCCAACGCTGAACTTCTAAAGTCCATAACTCAACTAATCTTAATCGGATTTTGAAGCGGAATACATCTAAATGTTTCTGGCGCCATTCTCTAAAAAACTGCATTCAAATTTGGAATTTTATTTTTTTTAATATTTTTTGTCATTTTTCTGATGTTGTGATCTTGTAGAAATTCAAAAAAGATCAAAAATGTCCCAACGCTGAACTTCTAAAGTCCATAACTCAACTAATCTTAATCGGATTTTGAAGCGGAATACCTCTAAATGTTTCTGGTGCCATTCTCTAAAAATCTGCATTCAAATTTGGAATTTTATTTTTTTTAATATTTTTTGTCATTTTTCTGATGTTATGATCTTGTAGAAATTCAAAAAAGATCAAAAATGTCCCAACGCTGAACTTCTAAAGTCCATAACTCAACTAATCTTAATCGGATTTTAAAGCGGAATACCTTTAAATGTTTCTGGCGCCATTCTCTAAAAAACTGCATTCAAATTTGGAATTTTATTTTTTTTAATATTTTTTGTCATTTTTCTGATGTTATGATCTTGTAGAAATTCAAAAAAGATCAAAAATGTCCCAACGCTGAACTTCTAAAGTCCATAACTCAACTAATCTTAATCGGATTTTGAAGCGGAATACCTTTAAATGTTTCTGGCGCCATTCTCTAAAAAACTGCATTCAAATTTGGAATTTTATTTTTTTTAATATTTTTTGTCATTTTTCTGATGTTATGATCTTGTAGAAATTCAAAAAAGATCAAAAATGTCCCAACGCTGAACTTCTAAAGTCCATAACTCAACTAATCTTAATCGGATTTTGAAGCGGAATACATCTAAATGTTTCTGGCGCCATTCTCTAAAAAACTGCATTCAAATTTGGAATTTTATTTTTTTTAATATTTTTTGTCATTTTTCTGATGTTGTGATCTTGTAGAAATTCAAAAAAGATCAAAAATGTCCCAACGCTGAACTTCTAAAGTCCATAACTCAACTAATCTTAATCGGATTTTGAAGCGGAATACATCTAAATGTTTCTGGCGCCATTCTCTAAAAAACTGCATTCAAATTTGGAATTTTATTTTTTTTAATATTTTTTGTCATTTTTCTGATGTTATGATCTTGTAGAAATTCAAAAAAGATCAAAAATGTCCCAACGCTGAACTTCTAAAGTCCATAACTCAACTAATCTTAATCGGATTTTGAAGCGGAATACATCTAAATGTTTCTGGCGCCATTCTCTAAAAAACTGCATTCAAATTTGGAATTTTATTTTTTTTAATATTTTTTGTCATTTTTCTGATGTTATGATCTTGTAGAAATTCAAAAAAGATCAAAAATGTCCCAACGCTGAACTTCTAAAGTCCATAACTCAACTAATCTTAATCGGATTTTGAAGCGGAATACCTCTAAATGTTTCTGGTGCCATTCTCTAAAAAACTGCATTCAAATTTGTAATTTTATTTTTTTTAATATTTTTTGTCATTTTTCTGATGTTATGATCTTGTAGAAATTCAAAAAAGATCAAAAATGTCCAAACGCTAAACTTCTAAAGTCCATAACTCAACTAATCTTAATCGGATTTTGAAGCGGAATACCTCTAAATGTTTCTGGTGCCATTCTCTAAAAATCTGCATTCAAATTTGGAATTTTATTTTTTTTAATATTTTTTGTCATTTTTCTGATGTTATGATCTTGTAGAAATTCAAAAAAGATCAAAAATGTCCCAACGCTAAACTTCTAAAGTCCATAACTCAACTAATTTTAATCGGATTTTGAAGCGGAATACCTTTAAATGTTTCTGGCGCCATTCTCTAAAAAACTGCATTCAAATTTGGAATTTTATTTTTTTTAATATTTTTTGTCATTTTTCTGATGTTATGATCTTGTAGAAATTCAAAAAAGATCAAAAATGTCCCAACGCTGAACTTCTAAACTCCATAACTCAACTAATCTTAATCGGATTTTGAAGCGGAATACCTCTAAATGTTTCTGGTGCCATTCTCTAAAAAACTGCATTCAAATTTGGAATTTTATTTTTTTTAATATTTTTTGTCATTTTTTCTGATGTTTTGATCGTGTAGAAATTCAAAAAAGATCAAAAATGTCCCAACGCTGAACTTCTAAAGTCCATAACTCAACTAATCTTAATCGGATTTTGAAGCGGAATACCTCTAAATGTTTCTGGTGCCATTCTCTAAAAAACTGCATTCAAATTTTTTTTTTTTTTTTTTTTAATATTTTTTGTCATTTTTCTGATGTTATGATCTTGTAGAAATTCAAAAAAGATCAAAAATGTCCCAACGCTGAACTTCTAAACTCCATAACTCAACTAATCTTAATCGGATTTTGAAGCGGAATACCTCTAAATGTTTCTGGTGCCATTCTCTAAAAAACTGCATTCAAATTTGGAATTTTATTTTTTTTAATATTTTTTGTCATTTTTTCTGATGTTTTGATCGTGTAGAAATTCAAAAAAGATCAAAAATGTCCCAACGCTGAACTTCTAAAGTCCATAACTCAACTAATCTTAATCGGATTTTGAAGCGGAATACCTTTAAATGTTTCTGGCGCCATTCTCTAAAAAACTGCATTCAAATTTGGAATTTTATTTTTTTTAATATTTTTTGTCATTTTTCTGATGTTATGATCTTGTAGAAATTCAAAAAAGATCAAAAATGTCCCAACGCTGAACTTCTAAAGTCCATAACTCAACTAATCTTAATCGGATTTTGAAGCGGAATACCTCTAAATGTTTCTGGTGCCATTCTCTAAAAAACTGCATTCAAATTTGGAATTTTATTTTTTTTAATATTTTTTGTCATTTTTCTGATGTTATGATCTTGTAGAAATTCAAAAAAGATCAAAAATGTCCCAACGCTGAACTTCTAAAGTCCATAACTCAACTAATCTTAATCGGATTTTGAAGCGGAATACCTCTAAATGTTTCTGGTGCCATTCTCTAAAAAACTGCATTCAAATTTGGAATTTTATTTTTTTTAATATTTTTTGTCATTTTTTCTGATGTTATGATCGTGTAGAAATTCAAAAAAGATCAAAAATGTCCCAACGCTGAACTTCTAAAGTCCATAACTCAACTAATCTTAATCGGATTTTGAAGCGGAATACCTTTAAATGTTTCTGGCGCCATTCTCTATAGATTTTAAATGTCAAAATGTCAATAGTCACAAACCGCAAGGTACTTTTTGCCATCTTTGCATAGAGATGCCAGCCGATTTTCTATGAAACATTTTAGCATCCTTGAGTGTCCTTTATTTGAACTCAGAGTTTATCACATACTCGTAGGCAGCTTCGAGTGTAAGTTACTGTCAATACAGGTTGCAACAGCAACATATCATAAATTAAATTTTCAATTTAGATGAAAGCCTGTGAAAACATGCTCCCAGTGATATGAGAACACTTGCTGAAGCTACCTCTTAGGGATTTAAATAATTTATAACACAGACACCGAGCGACAACAAAAGCTTCACGTCAATTCAGGCTAAGGATACAGCAGTAGTTGTTTGTTGACTGGCAGACGATTATTGTAATCAAGACATAATTGGCTATAACTAGCTATATGATTAGTTTTAAGTACTTACCCTGAGGTTGCCGCTCGAGCGGCGATCTGTTGTGGCATAGTGCTGCAGTCCGCCGGGTCCCGTTAGAGGCACTACGCCGCAACCGGAACGGATGCCCTGACCCAGAGTCGCTCTACACAACAAACATGGCAATTTCGATTTGCGAATTTTTGCATAGGTCGTATGCGTGTGTGTGTGTGTGTGGGTGGGTGGTGAGTGGGTGTTGTGGGTTCACGGGGGCATATATCATGTTGTGGACGGGTTTGGATGTGCATGTTTTTCGATTTTCATGGGCAGGCAGGCAGGCAGGCAGCACATCAAAGACAGGACACAGACGGCAGATAACGGGAGTGTGGAGTTTTCCAGATTTGAAATTGGAGTACATGGAGTGCGGGCGGTCAGGCAGAGCAGCAGAGATACAGAGACAGAGAGAGAGAGAGAGCAGGCAAGGCAGGCACACATACACACACAGAAAGTAGTTTCATAGGCGTGTTGTTGAGTTGTTGTTAAGTTGTTGTTGAGTTGTTGTTGAGTTGTTGTTGATTGTGTTGTTGAGTTGTTGTCGGTATGGTTGTCGTTGTGTTGGTAATCATGTTAGACAATCAAGCAGAGTTAGCAACAACAACAAGCCGTCGATTCGATTACCAAATTACGAAATGCAAGGGAAACATACGGATGTGAAAGCAAAAGAGAGTGGATCGAGTATAGGAAATATGGAAAAGAAACGGGACAAAGACGAAAGAATTTGATTAATCAATGTTAGAGAGTTACTTTTATTTTGATTCGTATTCGCCATGGCACAATTAACTACACGTAGCGTAAAACAACAATGAAATCAAAGATATATGGTGAGCGAAAAACCCCCGAAAAAATAGAAACTAGAAAGTAAAAGTAACTTGAAAAAAGAATAGCATTGCTAACAGACACGAAACCAGCAGCCATAAAAATTGGCGTTTTTTGTTTAAGCCTTGGAAATCCAATCACACATATCTATGTAGTATCGTTAGGGTGTTTGTATGCAATGGTACTTATTAAGATGACATCGATTAGACTAGTTCAAGCTACTTAAAAACATTGATAACACATACATAGAACTGGTTTTCGGTTGTCTGCGTATGTTTTCGAGTACGTGTGTGTGTGTGTTTCAGAAATAGAGAGAGATATGTAGGCTACTTAGTAAGCAAGTTTTACTTACAATTGACACTGTAGTTGCAAAATTGCAAAACCAAACAAACGACTTCTTAACAAAATTAACTTAGAGGAGCTACAGCCCTGCGGTCAAATCTTCAGAATCCTGGACTCTGCATTTTTGTTGCCCAGAAGTATGCAAGCAAATATTTGATACAGCCATACGCAATAAGCAAGCCATGTCAATACAATTACATTTTTAGGAGCATACTCGAGGAACCTTAGCCATGGCAGACTCGATACCGCAGGGCGAAACTCAATCAAAACGCTTCACAGTATGCAACACCAAACATGAACTATATCATCTAACCACGGAAATGTAGATGTGTATGTGTCCATGGATCTGTGTGCGAGTGTGTGGTTATGTTATTGGTCTTTAGGGTTCCATTGTGCGCTCAGTGGCTGTCTAACCGAGCTCAGAAAACAGCTTCTGTATCACAGGGAACGGGAACTTGTGTGCTTCGGCCTAGTGACGAAAGACGCTCATGTGGAAGGGTGTGTGTTTCGGCATTTGCAATGCTCATCTTAGGCGTAACAATTGATAATGTCTGAAATACATACGAGTATGTATTTCAATCCCCTCCTCAACTACATTGACGTAAAGCCTTAACCCTAGATTTCTACTACATTAAATGCTCGATTCGACTTGTAAATCAACCTAAGTAAATGCAACGTTAAGCGCTCCTCAGAGAGTATCTTCATAATTTTGATATCGGATATGCAAAGCTTGGACACTGGTTTTGTTATTGACGTGTGCGTTCCTAGTTCGATGCCTAAAGCACTTTATAATATTGTGGTATGATTACATGTACGTTTACTACTCGGATGTGTGAATATCCTGGCGAGGATCTATCAACTATTCGTATTGACGAAATGACTAGCGCTGTGCTCCAGTTATTGTTCTCTCCCTATAGTTATTATCGTATCATCTTTATCAGCTTGGCTAAACAACAAATCAGTATGAATCCCGTTTGATTTTTGATTATTATTCATTTTCGTTATCGAGTTCTTTGGTTCGTGCGGATTGTTTAGTGGCCCTGCAATTTGGCCAATTGTCTGGAGGCTTCCATTTGAAATTCTTCCATTTGACAGTAAATTAGGTATCTGCATTGCGAATATAGAAGATACAAATAAACATGGTTCGAGATATTTTGTGGGAAAGAAAAAAGAGAGAAACATGGCCACGAGGGCCGCCATTAGTGCGATTCGCTTGTGGGACGGTTTTATTTTGCTTAACAGATCGTCTAAGACACGTTCACATGATCAACAACGAAACAAAGTACAGAATTACTATCTAAATATACAGGCTGGAGGACCTTTACATACTTATGCACGAGTAGACAGAGTTAGATACAGATATGACATCGCATGATATGACATCTAATGAGTCGAGAACTTGGCATTTCTGCAGTCATATTTCATTGGTGATGTGGAAGAAGATAGATGGATGGTATGCAGATAAGAAGCAGCTTATAAACGAATGAACAAAGCACTAAATATATTAAATAGCCAGAGATGATGTGAGCATGAGTGTCTGTTTCGGGTGTGGATGAAAGTACATGATGATGCAGATGATGAAATGAGATCTGAAGAGCTCCCACAGTGACGAAACACTTCCTGCTAGCAAAGTCGAATCAAAAACAAAACTCGGTAAACGATATGGTCTTAACGAAGGTGCAGAAATGAACACAAACTCAAACTCAACTCAAACTCACAACGAAGACCGTTAACAGGAAGTTATATAAACTCGGGGTAACTCGGGTAATGGTAATACAAAACGGCAATAACTCAATCAAAACAAAGACAACTCTAATGAAAACGCTGTGTTACGCTACATATTTACGTTTCCACAATTCACATGTCAAACCCGAGGGGCTACACAAAGGACTCGCACACACAGGGCGCACACAAACACACTCACACAGACGCACACACGCACACACGCACACACACTGAGATATCTAGATGGGCTCCGTGGGACTGGTAAACCCTAAAAACTTACCGTGCGGGCAAAATGAGGGCATCGAATTCCGTGTTGAGATGTCGCCGTATTATGTTCTTCGAGGGGGGAATGCCCAGGGCGGTGGCCATGGTGTCACCAGAGAAGGATGGTTCCAGCACCACAAGGCCGCCATGAACGCCGCTATCTGCAGGTGGGATTAGAGTGGGTCAGAGGAGCCCTGCTGATTGCTGCACTGAATGGCATAATCAAAGGCCAATCGATATGGCACACGCACCCTTCAGATTGTCCGCGTACTCGCCCAGGTCGATGGATCGCACCCAGCGGATGAACCGCTGGTTCGTCCACACAATGGGGTCCGTGTCCACCGTCTCGGATTGCACCCGCCGCATGGCCAGAGTTTGCCGGTCGTACTTGACGATGCGCAACACGTGGATGCCTGCAGATGGAAGGCAATGGGATTGCCATTTAATAGGATTACAATGTTTAGCGAGAAGGATGCCCCATGTAATGCACCCAAGCATATTTGTGAATTACTAACTTACGAGTATAACCGATCTCGGCTGCTCAGTGGTTTTTGCTTACAAAAATATTTAAAGACTTAATCGTACCGTGCACAATGCTGGCCTGATGGAACTTCCGCGTGACGCCCAGGAACTTCTCGAGCTCCTTCTTGGAGAGCGTGTCCAGCATGCGAGCGTCGACCAGGGACTGCACAAAGGGCTCCGCGTACTGGGGCAGTCCGATGTCCGGCAGCCACTCGGTGGCCACCCAGGTGTGGCCCAGCTGCGTGATCAGCGGATAGCGCACCATCTCCGGACGCCGCTGCTCCTCGATGGCCAGCCGCAGTTTCTTGCGGTGCATCGGATGGGCCAGGCCCAGGCCCGCCTCCAGCTCCACGTCATTGAGCTCCAGCAGCACCTTGCCGCTCTTCACGTTCTCGGCGCACCTGGCGCTGTACTGGGGCATGCCCAGGGCCACCTCCAGCCAGGCGAGCACCTGGGTGGCCCGCCAGCGGTCGATGGGCAGCTGGGAGGCCTCCCGCAGCAGACGCAGCTTCTCGGCGTAGCCCTCCTCCGTCAACGGATTCCACGAGTAGTCGGTATCTGGAGGGAATAGTAATATTTATAGAAGTTTATATAAATATCTAAACCGTTGGTACTCACATTCAGTAACTCCATCAGCGGATAGGGCCTTGCTTTTATTCCTGGAGCGAGCAAACACTCGTGATATGCTGCCCCAGGTTCCGCCGCGTCCATTTCGAGCACCGAGTGGTCCACTTTTGCTGGCGCTGGCGAACTTCCGGCTGATGGCTCCATTGCCTGGCCCCTCGGGGTCCACCGGGGAGCCCAACTGTTCCACGGACCTATTGGAATGGTAGAAGTGTAATATGTGATATTGAATGCAAATGACTACACCATTTTTGTTTTATGTTTTAGCTAGCAATTATGCTAAATAGAAATTTATCAATGTTGAAGTGTTCGAAATACCCAAATGCAAATGAGTGCTTGAGCTAAATTATAATAGGCGTGTAATGTAATTTTAGCGTCCATTTATTAATTTGTTTAGTTTTTGCATTTGCTGTCGACATGTAATTAATTAAAGCCGTTAACGCGCAGATTAAAGTGAACACACGATGTTAAATATTTCTAAACAAGTTGATAGCAATGCAAATAACGTTTTTCATTGAGCACCGTCCATTGACAATGTTTCTGTATTGTGAAATAAATTCTTTAAAAGCTTTAAAATCTGTGAGCACTCAACATTAGGTTCATTTTGTACCATACCTTGAGTAGGCCGCCGAATTGAGAGGAGACAATGTGGGGCTCCGTTCCTTGGGTGTGCCGACTGAAACGAAAACCTGGCTAAAGTGGGATTCGATGGGAAACAGGGGTGTGCTTACATTGGTACATGTTCTGGCTGGACACGAGGGAGATGCTGTCGGGATCGACCGTGATGCAGGGTCCATTGTCGCAGGTGCCATCGCTGAAGTTCAGTTCTCCGCCGGTGCTCTCCCGATCGCTGCTGTTCCTCAGGCCCGAGTCATTGGAGCAGGAGTTGCGATCGCCCGCCGTGGCGCCGGATCCTCCGCTTAAGCTGCCGCTGAAGGCGGACAACGAGTTGCCACGCCCACTGTCCTCAGTGGTGGCGCGCATGCCGGCCAATCCCCCGCCCATGCCCGATGCGGCGGCCATCTGACTGAGCATTCCCGAGGCAGCCGACGGAGGTGTGAGTGGGGCAAAGGAGTGCAGGCTCTCCTGATCCGACAGACAGCCGGTCAGCTGGCGGCGTGCCTCCTGCAGCTGCTCCTGCAGCCTCTGGAGCTGCAGATCCCTGGCGGACAGCTGCTGGGCCAGGGCCAGCGAACGCTCCGCCTCATCGCGTGCCTGCTTGAGCAGCTGGAAGCGTTCGCGATCCCGATCCCCGGAGATCTTGGCGTTCGTTGTCTCCGTCTCCCGCACCCGCTCCTGGTAGTTGCGTATGAAGTCGCGCAGCTCTTGCTCCTTCTCCTGCAGCGAGGCGCACAGCTGCTTCACCTGTCCCAGCAGATCGGACTTGTCCGTTCGCAGCTTCTTCCGCTCCAGCCGCATGGTCAGCAGCTGGTTCTTCACCGACCTGAGCTCCGACTCCAGGCGCTCGATGCGCTCCCTGGCAGCTGATCCTTCGCCGGATGAGGCTGCTTCCATTTCGGGAGCGGTGTCCACACCGCCCACTGCCCCATCTGTGGACAGCTCGAGGAGGCGTCTCAGTCGAAGCAGTTCGGCATTGAGACGATCGTTCTCCTCGCGCAGCTTCATGGTGGCCTCTGCAAAATGGGGATCTTTTTAGATGGGTCAAGGAAGTGGACCCCGCTCGTTAGATCTTAGCTACAGCTACCAAGCTGCGGAGAAGCGGTGATCGCAGCAGGAATGCAAGCCAGGTTTACAAGCTCTCCTTCAAGCACCCAAAAACGCGGCAAATCAAAGCATTTTTATTAAGGATTACACACCGCAGCTGAAAGCTCTTGTCTAAAAATGCGGAGGAAACTCATGTTTCTACAAGTGCTCTTCAAAATGATATTTTAAAACAACTCCCTTGTTGGTTTGCTTAACTTTAAGTGTCAAGTTCGCCTTTTTATATTGCAGATACACATTGTATAGCCACTACTGACTTGCATGCCTGCCAATCGATTTTCTACTCATAATTAGCAATAATGTCCTCCACTGGCCACCCACTTCCACTTGCGATTCCCGAGAATTTTTCACACACTTTTCCCCGCCCGGATTCCTTAGCATGAAATAATATTAACTGGAACCGAAGAAACTGAGCAAAACTATGGACAACCAGCTGGTGCCAGAGCACTGGCATTAAATATGCAAAACGAGAACTGGGAACTGGGAACTGAGAACTGAAAACGCATTCAAAGTTTTGCAGGCGAACTAAAACCCAGTGCAATTATAACTTAACCAGGCCAGGGCAATGAATCGGCAGGCACTAAGCGGATGAATGGGGATCAAGTGCAACTACTTTACGGGTGGAACAAGTTGGGTGCTGGGTATGGTGGGTGTGCTGGGGATGCGGGTTAATTGTGATTGCTGCTGCTTCAATTAAAAATACAGAGCGGAAATTGAGATGAAAGCGAAAGGGGGCGGGGAGCATAGATTGATCGACTTACCTGGGCGGGGAGCGGAATGCAGGCGGTGGAACCTTGACTCGTCGTTGCGATTTCCATCGCAGGATTCGAGGAGGAGCAAGGCCGCCGATGCGGCGGATGTGGGGGAGTGCGGGGCTCCCAGGGCCAGCGACGGATTCGGGCTTAGGTTTACATTCAGATGCGGGGTCAGGTCCTGATCCGGCTCCGGCTCCGAAAGGTTGGCATTTCGCTTGTCGACTGAATTCGGCATTGTTCAGATACAGATACACAGATATAGATGGTTTTTGGGGGGACTTGGGGTGTTTGGGGTATTTGGGGTATTTGGGGGCAGGCAAACATATTCGGGTTGACCCAATAAGTAGTTCCAAATAAAACAAATAAACAGCAACGGCCAACAACGTCCACAACAACAACAACAGGTATATAAGAACAACGCCAACAAATGGCTATAATGGTAATGGGGCTGGTGGTATGCATGAGTGGTTCGATGATGGTACGGACCGACGGATATATGTGTGTTTATATAGGAGGACGAGGAATGGGAATGCAGGGGTCGTGCAGGACTCGAAATTAGATTTAGTCTCATCGAAAACGGACAAACAGCATTGAAGAGTAAATAAACAACAATTATTGCAGTCGAACATGGAAATGAATTAATATTGATTGTCGGCACATTAATCTAAATGCAAACGAGTCAGCAAGTGATGGCGATAACAATGGGTTCATTGGAACGCCTGTACGAGATGCACATTGTGGTTATCTAGTTATTCCCCCAGCCACAATTGGAAAGCCCAGGTCACAAACTCATCCATGTGAATGACTGATGATGAACCCAAATTGATTGCACACACACACAGCGAGGATAATCGTTATTCACATACAAATCCCCCCAGTGGATAGGCATAATGCCGTTTTTTCAGCTTTTTTGCTTATTGATTGTCAACACGGATTTATTTTATGGCCAAGGATTTAAATGAAAATTTAATTAGCACTTAATGCGCGGCATGAAATCATTATAAAAGGCAACAAAAATGCATGTTTAAATTGAGGTCAACACGGAATGAATGCTCTGCGCTGTTTATTAAATGCAAGCTGCCAAATTGAAGAGTTAACTCTTAGTCAAGTCCCAAAACTAAAGGGGCTGCATCAGCCACACTCCGTCAAATTTTCAGCGTTTAAGTTTCGAAAGCCCAACTCGACCGCAACCACTTTGGGATCCACCGACTTTTTCACCTTCTCCGGAATGACCCCGTCTATCTGCTTCGTTGACTTTTCAACTGCAGCACTAAAAGCGATGGGTCAGAGCTCCTGGACGGGCAGATTGACAGATGGCCAGATGCTCCAATGGGGGAGATGGGAGATGGTGCTTGTAGCTCCGACGAACGGACGAAGCCCATTACCATCCATTTGTCAGATTTTTGAAGTGTGCATCACTTTGCCATTCTGATATAATCCGATGCGTTGGCCAGGCCAAAAGACCGAGGCAAAAAAGGCACTATCCCCGTGCCACATGCCTGGAAATACCTAAGCCCCCACTGCATCCATGTCCTGCGGTCCTAGTTGTTTCGTTCTGCGGTGGCTCTTACCTCTGGTTGCCACTGCAGCTCACTGGTAGCTGGCAATCTCTCTGGCCACAAGACAACATTTCATTTGTTGCCCCTTTTGTGCCGCCAAATACTTTGGCAATGGCTTAAAACAAAACAAATGGGATTTCATATTTTACGCAACTGGCAGTTGGAATTAAATCAGCGCTCCTGATTGAATCCTTTCAACCTGAACGCTGATTTAATTCCTTGCTGGCCGGTACCCATTTGGCATTCTCACAGTGGCCAGCATTTGTGCATTCATGCCGCAAAGATCCGTGCCCCATGCCACAGGACTGCCCCTCATCCAACCACCCCCCTTACCCCAGTAGCTCCTTTCTTTGCCCGCAGCAATCTGCTGATTGCTCCCCCTCCTCACGCCCCGCGCCCCACGCCTTCACATTACAAATGCATTTGCATACACTGAGCGAAACACCAGATCCAAGCACAGTAATTAAGTTCAACACTTAAACGCCAAAAGCGGTTAAATTAAATCATATTATAAAGAACTTGCCCCAAGAATAAGCGTTTATATCAGTAAGTACCACCCCCAAAGGAACTGTTCTGTTTTTTACTTTAGGTGAGGTTTCTCGCCGTGTACACATTCACCCTTGCAACAGCAACCCCCTCTCCCCGCACACTTACCGGCATTGAGTGCACTGCCGCTGGAGGGGGCGTTGTGGGCGGGGCCGGCTGCCTGCGCCAAGTGACCAGCGGCAATTAAATTCGAGTTATTCGCATGGATCATGGCTGTGCCGGAGTTGCAAGTGCTGCTGCTGCCGTTGGTGTTGCTGTTGCTGCTGCAGTGGCTGCTGCCGATGCCATTCGGCAATTGCTGCTGTTGCTGCTGAGGCACTGCTCCTGCGGCTTCCGCTGTCTTGCCAGGATACGCAGGACTCCTGTGCTGGTGGAGCTGGTGGTGCTGTATCTGCTGCTGGAGCGGCTGATGGTCAGCGGTCATGGGTGGGGTAAGGGTCTGGTTGCTGCCATTCGAGCTGGACGGCGAGGAGCTGCTCTCGTTGCTGGGCGTGAGGTCTCGTTTGGAGGCCAGGACCAGCGGTGATGGCTTCCCTGGTGCACCTCCGCCACCGGAGCCTGTTGCTCCTGCTGCTCCTGCTGCTGCCGAGGATGTCGAGGCTGTCGAGGCTGTCGAGGATGTCGAGGCCGTCACCGAGCTGTCCAGCGATAGGAGCGGTCTTATGGGCTTGTTGTTGTTCACGGAAGCTGCCTTCTCCTTCAGTCCCGTCGCCACTGAGGTGTCCAGGGATTTGGCTACTTTCTGCAAGGGGTTTAAAGCACTTAATTACTCAAAGTATTCACATTCTGACGCAGAAAACGCTTGCTAAGAGAAAAGAGAAAGAGAAAATCGTGTGTTTATGCCAAGCCCACTTTGCAAAATCCTTTCTTCATTTATTTAATCCATTGAGAGATTCGTTTAATCTTATTTTATCGAAAAATAGTGTTTATTATGCCACAACAGAGTTATGAAAATATCAATTATTTTTCGGTACAGCTCTTGCTTAAGCTTAAGCTTTTGATTCGATTTGAAGACGCTTCCACGTTATGCCAAGCATATTTTGGTATCTGAATCTGCATAAATTTAGGAAATTCGATTTTGCAAAATAGGCAAGGAGATGCTTAAAAAATGTAGCCTAGCGATAGCAAAATTCAGATAGCACGGAAAGATAGCTAAAGAGAAGTCAACTTATGCAATACAGAGCCCGAAGTTGTCAACAAGTCAATGAGGGATGCAGAATGGGTAATTTTTTGAGATTTCAGTTTGTTTTTGATCAAGCGCACTAGAGCGAGATGAAGTGGTGCGCCAAAAAAGAGGGGAGTTGGGTGGGTGAAAGTGGACCCCGTGGCATGCAAGCTGTTCCCAAGCAATGAATGAGGCCCAATTAGGTTAAACATCAAGTGAATTTCTTGTTTGGTGGTGCGGGTGGTGGGGTTTTAAGTCTGTTATCTGGGAGCGAGGGGAGCGAGGGAAGCGTGGGGCGGGGTGGTGCATTCGGATTGTACTTACGGATTCGCCCAGCTTGTGCAGCGAGGCGTTTATGCGGTCCGGATTGCGCGGCGGCGGCTCTGGTGGCTCGGAGGCTGCCATCGTTGGTCCGGCAGCTAGACCGTTGATTTGCATGCTAACCACCACCAACGCAAGCACCTGTCGCACACACACTCACAAACACTGAGGCGCCACTAGAGTGCACACACCAACCCACCGGCCAAAAGGGGCGTGCGCGTGGGCGGAAGGACGTTGTGGGGCTTTCTTCTGGGCGCCTCAACTGCCACCACTCTGCACTAATCGACACTCAAACATTCTGACTTAGGCCTACACAGAGAAAAAGTCAAACAAAGTTAGTTTAAACTCACTCTGAGCTAGCTACAGTGAATTCGACATCTTTTAGGATGGTGCCCAAAGTGGGCAGCTATATATTGTAATGATGGTACTTCGCTTTTAATCGCATCAAGATGCTATTATGCCTAATACATTTCGAGGGCAAGATTTCCGCAGTGTAAACGAATAATTCATCTGGGCTATTGGCTAGATATTTAAGTCCTAAAGCGCGGAACAATACGTACTCTAAGCTGGCTGTCCCCTTAACTTCCTCGCCGCTCAATCTGCATTCAATTACGGGTTGTCCTGCAAGTAAACAGAAATGGAAATTTGCATCAGTCAGCGCGCCGTGGATGTGCAGCGATTTCCGCTGGCAGCTCAACTAATTTGGGTCTGCCCACAAAATGGCCATAAAAACTGGGAATCCCCCGGTCGGGCTTAGCTGTTTGCATGTAGGCCAACACCAGCCATAAACCTCCATTTGCGCTGCTTTTTTCCAACGCCATTGCATGCCAACGCTCAGTTTGCAGTTCGCAGTTTGCAGTTCACAGTTCGCAGTTTGCAGTTCACAGTTCACAGTGCTCCTGCCCCAGTTGTCACTGCGGCAGCTGTTCCTAAGGAAAAAGTTAAATTACAGGGCTCAAGCTCGCAACTCGGAGTGGATTCTCGGTGGGGCGGAGTGACAGCTGTTAACTGGGCATGAAGCATGTGACACCGGGCGCAAAACAACCCCACGAGGCACTCGTAACTCCAACTGGTTGAAAGCAAAGGTGACATGACGTGCACTTTTCAGTTTGACCAACAAACAACCAGCGCAGCAAGGGGCAAAGTGTCGAAATCATGCCGAAAATAAAAGCAAAAGTTCACGGATGGAATCTGGATACCTGAAATTACTTATTGACGCTAAAATATGTGCTGTAGCTGATAAAAGCCAACTATTAAACACTAGTGCTATTATTATTAGAGCATCGCTTGCCATATGTTACGTGAGCAGTATGATCTTTCGGTTTCCCGTTGACACCCCAAAACTTTAGGTTTAATCCGCTTTAAGACCACTACAACAAAGGATGACCAGCAAAATATGTTGCGGTCATGTTTTGGCCCTGTGTTTTTGCTTGCCAACCCCCTGGAAACCCATGATCCGAATGGATGCTTGGGGTCGAGCGATGGAGCCTTCTGCACATGTGAATGTTTACGAATACATACGGCTTAGAGCAACAGAAGCGGCCAACCCCGCAGTTAAAGCCGATTCCCGAGCACCTTGACGACGAAACCACAAACATTTATATTAAAGCAGCAAAGCCAGGTGGTAAAACAAGGGGCGGGCACAGGCGGATGGGGGCGTGGCAGCCGCACTAATGTGGTGTGGGCCACACTAGTGCACAAACTTTAATCATAATAATAACAAGCAACTTTTGCGTTACATCCGTGCCACGAACACAGATGAAGTTGGCCAAAGTTACCCTGTTGTTGGCCGACTGAATGGGTATTTATGTTGCACACTGACAGCACAGGCCGCAGATAGATGAGGTCCTCCTGGCTGGGGAAACCCCAGCGGGTCTACGGAATATACTGCTAACATGCTTTTTAAACTGTCTGTGTTCAAATTTCACTGCTTTTTTGGATGGAAACCTATTGCTGCCCCTTGTTATGGGCTTGTTGCTGGATTATACCGACAGAGAGGTAATTAAAATGCTCGTGTACCCCTCTTACGTACTTATTAAAGTTATAATTTAAGTCACTTCGAACTTGCATTTCATGTGCAGTAGTGCTATTTTAAAATAGGTAAACTTTATACATTTTATAAGGCTCCTAGCTAGCTTTTAAATTTGTGTACATAACTTTCGGGCGTCCTTGCTACATTTCTCCAAATTATGAGTCATCCCAACCAAACGGCATTTTACGTGCACTTGGAGGATCCTGTGCGGAGTGCGCCTCCCAGTGGACTGCACCGCAAGTACCGCCCACCTCCGCCACGCCCGCAGGAGGAGCGTCTGGAGGAGGCGGAGGAGCGACGCAGCTGGCTGGGCGAGCAAAAGGTGGAGCAGCTGTCCGTCCGCCTGGCGCGAGTGGCGCTGATCACGGATCGCCACCATCGCCAAACCACCCAAAGTTGGCTGGATTGCCGGGATCGCATTACTCGCGATATGGACGAGCATGTGCGGAAGCGGACGGCGCAGATCTCGAAGCGCCTGAGGAACCTCAGCGACCACAACCACCAGGTGCAGGTGCGCAAGGATGAGGCCAAGCAGGAGAAGCTGCTCCGGAAACTGACCCATCTCTACGAGGCACAGAGCGCCAGCACTATTTCGCGGTTTTGGGGCAAAATTCAAAAGTAGGCACAGTCAATGAGATGAGGAAAATGAGGAATAATAAAGCTAACTTGTATATTATCTATGGAGCTCCTTTTTCCGCTTCAGGCATTTTCCTCGGTGTATGTAAGACACCATTTTCCGCTTAGAAAGTTTCGCCTGTCGCAGCGCACGTCGAACTTCCACTTTTCGACCAAGTCTGCCATCGACATAGTTGCAGAAAATCGCTTGTCAACTTTCCAACATGCCCATGATGCGTTTTTATAGCCAACTTTCAGGGCTTTAAGTTTGTCCAGGTTGTCCGGCAATTTGCATTGCCATGAAAGCAGAAAGTTGAGTACGTAAAATTAGTTACAATTTGTGTCGAAGCAGAACAAATTAGCCGTCGCCCAGGGGACTCCTCAAGTAGAAAGTGGGTGGCGATTTGTAAGGATTTTCATAGAGCTTGCCCCCTGCTCCTTCTGAAAGCCAGATCCCGATTATGTGCACTCAACTGCAAGTCAGCAGGAGCGTGTGCACACATATTTGTTTGGCTACACACACATCACGAGTCAAAGGAGCGTGTTGCTGGTGGCCAACTAAGTGCTTTCCCTTTGTCCAGAAGCATCTTGCGCCCCGTTAGCAGCACCCAGCATCAAACTTGAAGTTCAGGCTGAGCACTTGACCTGTTTTCGCCCAACTTATTTGATTTGTGGCCTGCTGGTGACGCTCCTTATGCAGTTGCCTTCGCATTCAATTAAGCTCTTGGGCTTTCACTGTGTGTGTGTGTGTCCCTGTGTGAATGCCCTGAGAAGTATGCTTCATAAATTGGTTTTTATTGGGGTCCCATGTGTGTGTGTGGGTCTGTGGCTTGCGTTCTTAAAACTGGATGAAAAATATTTGAAATTTATTGCCGCTGCCTTTGATTCAATACGCACATTTATTAATTTATTATTCTGTGGATTGGAGCTCAGGAACTAAATAAATCAAAGGCTTGAGATGGAAAAGACTTAAATGAATTTGCCGAACAAATGGCCAATAAGTTTTGGCATATCGATTGAAAGGCGGCCTACAAATGCATGCAAATTAATTCAGTATTTGTGCTGAGCCAAATCATTTCAAGCGACTTGATTGCACAAACCACAGACCAACGAGCACGCCCCAAAGTGCCATAATGTCGAGTTCCGCCCTAGGGCGCCACAACTCGGTGACAATTGACATTGGCAGTGGCAGCGACAGTGACAGCGACGGTGGCGATTGGGAGAAATTCAATGAAAATTAATAAGTTGAATTAACAGATTCACGCCGCGGGCAGCCAGCGAAAGCCAAGCCGCCGCACACGTCAAGTGGGAATTTAATGGCTCAGTGCCCTGCCAAATCAGTGACTGGTCATTCCGTCCGTCCTGACAGCCATCATCAAGGTCCTGCCCATCTGAACTCGAACTCGACTCCTGCCTCAGCTGGCTGAGCTGGCTGAGCTGGCCAGCATTCAATTCGATTACCTGCAAACGAACACTTTATTTCCGCAGGGCTAACTTCATTGCCCTTACATATCCTGCTGTGTGACTCATAACGTGATGACTAAGCTAACCAGTTAAGGGAATGGCAGAGAGCAAAATTGCATTGACCTGCTCTAAAAACGCATTTTTTATAATATTGCCCAAGTCACGGAACATACTTGAAATGCTCATCAACCTTATTTGATTAATTTGACTTGTAAAGTTCCTTGTGCATCAGAATGCAGTTTAAGTGGCATGCACTTTTCCGAGTAATTCCATACAAGCTAAGTTGGAATTTTTGCAATATTTTTTTGGTCAAAAGACCAGCCCTTTGAGGTTAGAAAGTTTTCAGTGCGCTGACCGTTTTACACTTGCTTTTAGCCCTAATTTCCTGTATGACTCGATGGCTTCGCCCCTTTCTCAGCCGGAAAACTTCAATGGAGCGAGTGGAATGTGTGGGAGCTGCGCAAATTACAATTTCAGCCAGGGCCCCTCCCCGAAAATGGTAAGCCTTATAAGCCCCCCTATCTCCGCCCCTGTTGTGTTTGCCAAGCGATTTCGCTGCAATCTACATCGCCAGCATTCTCCTTCTTCGGCCGCAAAACTGACAGCAATCAGCTTTGCTGTGGATAAAGTTTTATGCCGAGAAACTCATTTAGTTTGCAATTAATTAGTGGCAGCCGACAGAGCAGAGTTGAATTTGTGTTTTTAATTTGACTAAATAGATGCACCACTACCGAACGCTGGAGTGCTTCTATAACACAACTGCCGGGCAAGTGGGAAGCTCTTGCTGGAGTAGCATAGTTCTGGCTGAGTTTTCCGCTAGGCGTGAAATGTAAATGCTTGACCCAATTGGCAGGCGGCGTCAGAAGGGAAATACGACGAAAAACAACCAGCCGCCGACTACAAAGTCATTTAAAATGTTTGCGAGCGGTGAAACTTTTTCTCCGCCGCTTTTGGCGAAGACAACTTGAACACAATTTGATAACCTACATTTGGGGGTCTTGGCAACATTAAAAATTTACACATGACGGAGTGACTGGGCTGGCTGGGTGGAAAGGGGTGGCTGGTGGGGGGTTTTGGCCTTACTCGCAGTGCAAAAGTGGAACGGAGTGTTTCCACAGCGTCCTTGAGCCTTGTTTTTTATTTGGTATTAAGAGCATGTCAAGTGAGTCTGGCGAACACAGAGGCTGAAGGCAGCATGGCTAAGTGAGTTTTCGTTGTTGCTCCCTGTCACAGGAAACGGATGTGTGTGTTTGTGTGTGTGTGTGTGGGAAATTGAGGCGGTCGCAGGAGGAGCGGCCACCGTCCCCGGAGGTGGGTGGCAAAAGTCTTTAAGTCTTTCGGCTTAATAGCTTTCAGTTTGCGACTTTCCCGGTCACAACCCGACCCGATTCTGGCCGGTTACCCCTTCCTTGGGCCCAAATCCCCGCCATTTCAAGCCCTTCCTGCTCGCAGTGAGTTATTGTCGTGCGATTTATAACGCGACGCACTGTTGGCAGCCCTTGCTGCCTCC